GTAGTGACTACTACTAGTAGTGGTATGGTGTAAAAATTATGGGCTTCTCTATGGAAGGTTTGGGTTTCAAGTACTGGTTACAAAAACTCAATCCTCGCATGTAACCAGCTTGAGGTGCGTGTACTACTAGTCTTTGTTAGCGTTACTAGTTTTTACTAGTAGTTTTTTGTAAGGCGCAGTAACAAAGCGCACATGGTTACATGTAATTTYGATGCTACCAGGTACAGTACGGTACCGTACTCAACGGTTACAACGAAAACTTGGTTTTTGGAAACATCAACGCCAAGCCACATTCACGAATGACTAGGGATTGACTCGAGGAGTCATTTTGTAATCAATATTTGTGACAAGCTTGGCTGTGCAGTCGAGTTTCACCTCCGCATACCGGTACAAACAGTTCTCTCACTGCTGTATTTGTCTTCCACAACGTATTTGTACCGGTACTCGTACTGATACTCTGAAATAGAAAACGATACTACCCTACGTAGCATCAATACAGGTACAGAGAGATTCCCATATCATTGGTCATCAAGTACCTTACTGTAGCCTAAGACAACAKCTGAAACGAATTCAATAGAATGAGCGCCATCTTCGACTTTTCGAGCGTGCTCATGATCATTTTGCTAACGATCTGCACCACTACCTATTTGAGAGAATTGAGACCGGGAATTTTTGACGGAAACAAGGTATGAAGGGGATGGTTTTGAAATGTCTTTTTGTCTTGTGTTCTGTTCTATTTCATGTGCTATCCGATCCAATTCAACTCAAGATGCGACCCTGTAGTGCAAACAATAGTAAAACGAATATGATCATTCTTGTCAAGTACGAATGCGGCAATTATCCCATGGTACTCGTAACGTCCTTGYCGAATCACGATATGTCCAGGTAATGCATTCTTATCATACTCATGTCCTATTTTATCAAAATCGATCGGCTGCTGTACTGCTCGTTCCCACATATGATACGATAATACAACATGATACGATAGCCACGTGATCCAGCCAAACCAATCCACAGCGATCGAACCGGTTTTGGGGGTTTTTGTTGGAAGATGAGCCGCATCGGGGAACGGCTGTCTCCCTTTGTTGGAGCCAGTTGCATAGTTATGGCGTTTCATGTTCTCCTCAAATAATCAATAACTTTGGGATTTGATGAATGGATTGGCTTTCAAAACTGGCGTGAATGCAATGAAACGAAACAAAACGAAACGAGACGAACTTCTAATCYATGCAGAAAATCAAGAAAGGAAGATACAAGCCGTGAACGAAAGTCGATAGCAAAGGGAAGGTGCASTATTGAATTGATTAATCAACTCAAATTCGTTCATCGACCGATTCACCAAAACGGCACGCAATGTCTTATTTTTCGGAACGCAATGCGCCATATGATGTAGCATGCATTGCTATCTTCCTCCAGATGGATCATTGATTCCCTCGATGTGTGCAATAGCTTCAGCGAGCACAACGATGCGGTGTCCCACCACTCATGGCAGACGGACCACCCTACCGTACTCCGAACCTTCTATGCTTCTCTAAAACTCTGTCGATGTCCTCCTTTGAAAATTTTGTTTAGCACTYTTTGAATCTATAATCTATAAACTGCTTTTAATTCTGAAAAGGAATGGTTCCGATCATGACCGATTCGTTCAACATGGTCACAACGTTATGGTACCGTTTGAGAAGGGCACGGAGACTACAATGTTCTCGCGAGACTAATACCGCTGCTGAAATGATAGGATCGTTGTAATCATTTCGGCGTAGTCTTTGAGAATAATTTATGAGYTGCAAAACACTTCACTGTCGCTGCTACTTCGTGTCATAGTCCAATCAATTGGTTGCCTTCGCTCGTCCCATACCGAACACAAAGACTCTGTAGTTTCAAGATGGTAGAAGTTACTCAATGGTACTTCTATTATTTTTATTAATACATACGTATTGAGATCATGATGTCATGAGCAAAATATTCGCTGCTTGTTCTAAATTGTTGTTGGATGCCTGCAGCGCCTCTTTCACGCGAGCTTCTTCGAACCCCATGGAAGTGAGTTGAGCGACAGCTTCAGGGGATGGTGCCACTTCGGCTACTGCTATCGGTGGTTCCGCTACTCGTYGTTGCTGTTGCTGTCGTTGTGGTTGTGCAACAGCCGGTACCGCTCTTTGGCGACGAGGTCGGCCACCACCGCCACCGTTTCGCATGTTCATGTTCATCAACGCTCTCATCGTCATAAAGGGAGCGTATATCTTTGGACTCGGATCCACGAAAAAGAAACTACCTATTGATTCCCATGGAAGCAGGTTGACAATAGCATCAGGAACGTCCAAGAAGAGAGAGCTGGTTCCGCTACGACCATTCGTCGATGCAAACAACAAAAAGAAGTATAAGGCGCTGACCAATCCTCCTATCGTGCACACCAGAAGACTTGCGGTTCCTCTCATGTATACAACGTAGGCACCCCACAGATACGGAAAAGTCTTTTCGCTACACGCTATGCCCAGCGTCGTGCTTGTCATGAATCGGGGGTACAATCTAGGGACAAATGCCTTGTACCAATACAATAGTCCCCCGGCTACTAGGTAAGGCCCCTTGGCAGAGGCAGACGAGGATGACGCCCCGAGCACGACACCCGAAAGTTCGTCATCAAGGGTTGCAATAGCTACGATCCTCACAAATACGTAAGCGACTTCCAAAAACACTAACCACGCGATGAGTCTCCGGCTGGACAGTTCTTGTTCTAGTCGCCTCAGGTAGTGTGCCAAAAAGGACAATCCGACGATAACTTCGGTCGGGGATTGAAAGACCCAGTTAGAGGGTCCGTTGAAGACTACCGATCCCCATATACTGGTGTTTGAGTCACCATAATCTCTGCTGCTCTGAAAGYCCTCCTCATTGCTGTTGATGACCCAAAACGATCCCGCAGCCCATAACATGCAAAGAAGCTTCGTGACGGGAGCTCCCAAGAACCAACTKCTTTGGTGGTGGTTAAAACCCTGTTGTCGAAAGCCTCCGTTGTTCAGGGCAGGCATTTTGGAAATTACTTTTATTCGATAGAAAAAGTTGCTTTCTTTTCACTCTCTCTCTCTCTTTCTTCGACGACTCTATATTCCTAGCACTTTTGTAGTTCTATGACGTGATTCTGTTTCGTCCTTCCTCTCCAATTGAGTTCTAAAACTTCTGTTGTACTGGACGGTACGAGTTCGTTCCGTACCGCACCGTACCGTACGCTGTGATTACTCGTACGCACTGGGCGTTGATGTCCTCCTTTGCTACCGTATGGTATGGTGCGATCCGACATCCGCCCGCTATGATGCTTCCAGGTTCAGCTCTGTTCAAAGTACGTATCGTACGTACGGTACAGTACTCGAATAGAGTACAGTACGAAATAAGAAGTAGAAGTATTTCGTATTACGATACTACAGTACTGCATACGTACGTACCATACGACATCCGACAAAAAAGGATTAGTACGTAGTTTGGGTACTCGTACGTACGTACTCGCATATTTTTCGAAAAGCATCATGCATTACTGTAGTACGAAGTAAACATATTATGGCTACCGTACCGGACGTAACATACCGATACGTACGTACTTGTACTACCGAGGGGTTATCGAGAACAACTGTTCTGCGTAAGGATTTCTCAWCAACTTTTTTGAATTATTACGACTTCCTGCTTGGTACTAATACCTAATATCAGTTCATAGCTAATGGATTCTAGTACTAGCTAGTAGTAGTTGGTAAGAACTGCAAGAATRAAAAAGGATGGCCTGTCGTTCTGGATGCATGACCGTCAACCATGTTGACCCCKCATCAAACTTCCCTCAAYCGTACTCGGAGAAAAAAGAATCAACAATACGTCCATATGTTTTCCCGTCCTCAAGTAACCCGTGGTGCGAGGCATTCTCTAGTTCCTTCACCCTGACGAATTTGTGGTTGAAGGCGTCCTTCCAGGCTTCCAAACACTCTGCAGTAACAAAATCGTGTTCTCCCCTCATCACCATACAGGATGGCATGCGCTGGGAAAATTCCAAGGGTTTRACCGCCCTCCATCCTTTTATGCTGTCGGTTCCAAACCACACGCCGGGTTGCGCGGCGTTTTCGTAGGCATCTGCCAGCGGCTTTGGTTTCTCCCCATCGGCAGAGATGCTGCGGCAGGCGTGCCTCGCTAGGAATCGATTCATGACCGTGGAGGAATTGGGGTCTTCCTCCAACAGGCTTGCAACTCGGGCATCCCAATTGGCATCCATCTGATCCACATCGGACGGCGCACTCGAAAGGATTGCGGACAGGCACCTCGGTGCATCGTCGCTGCCTCTTTCTGCTACTCGTTTCATGTATTCAAAGGCAAGAATTCCGCCAAAACTCTGTCCATATAAATGGAACCTGGTCAAACCAATCTTCTTGATGAGCACTTCCAAGTCATCAAGGGACGACTCTATGGAATATGCCTCGTTCGTTTCGGGACCGGGGCTCCTTCCGCATCCCAGCTGGTCGTAAAATACAATTGAGCGATAGGGAATCACGTCACGTAGGGGTAGCAAATAATCGGATGGAAGCCCCGGTCCACCGTGCAAAACTAGAACTGGAGCACCTTGCTGGGACGACAGATTCATTCGATTGTGGATGTGGTGCCGAATTGAATGGRCGGTTGTCACGGTTTCACCGTTACTCCCTGTATAGGTTCTCGATACCTCGACCTCTCCCAGGAACTCGATTTGAGAATTCTGTAATCGCAGAGATTGGCAGCCATTGCGGTGAGGAAGAACRGTATTTCTTTCGGAATGAAACGAAACAGAAATACCGGGAAGAGGGGTGCTCGAGAGAAACGCCGACGATGATTTTACAGCGACGAGAGACAACATCAATATTCTATTGATCAAAAGTTTCAATGATCCCATCATGGGTGAATATTGGTTTCCCCAAACACCCAGTTACGCATTTAGAACGGCAAGTACTTCCTGCGACTGGCTGCGAATCAATGGAGCAAATTGTGTGCTCTAAAGCTAAGCGACTTGACAGAGACCGATAACTATCCTTTCATCGTCAACGGGAAAAGAAAAAAACTGGTCGTGATAACTGCGCTTTAATTTCTGGGTTTTCGGATCTCTCCGTAATAACGGACAAGTAAGTACGTTCGTCCGTATTCTGTATTCTTCCAGACGGTACGTACGTACCGGTACATACCGGAGGGGTCATAACTTAGACCCCTGACATACCGTCGGGATAGACCCGAAATGCAACTAATTTTGCAACAGTAGGAAATCATGTACAAGTCTACGTATGTACACTTTGGTAACATCCTACTGACCACCACAGTATCAAAATCCGTCACAAAATCYGCAAAGTCGGTTGAGCAGAATTACTTCCATCATCGAGCATAACGCATTTTCCATAGTAAAAAGACAAATGATGAAGGTAATTCTTGACAATAACAGAAACATATAATTGTATATTTTCTAAGATCTTAGGGGGGGGGGGGACAAGTAGTTAGCAGCATCGGTATCAGCATCCTCGTCCGTATCAGTGAGCCTCCTCTGTACTACTAGTACTATCAGTTAGCGTCCTCCGTATCAGCAACACGTATCAGCGTCCGTATCAGCATCCTCCATATCAGTGAGCCTCTGTATCAGTGAGCCTCCGTATCAGCAACTCTTATCAGCATCCTCATCCGTATCAGCATCTCAATATCAGCATTTGTATCAGCATCCTCCGTATCAGCGAGCCTCCATATCAGTGGCTCATATCAGTGGCTTGTACTATCAGCGGACACCGTATCAGCGGACACCACAGTGAGCTTCCGTATCAGCAGCTCGTATCAGCGGCTCGTATCAGCATCCTCGTCTGTATCAGCATCTCAATATCAGAGTTCATATCAGCATCCTCCATATCAGCAAGCCTCCGTATCAGTGGCTCATATCAGCGGCTTGTATCAGTGGCTTGTATCAGCGGCTTGTATCAGCGGCTCGTATCAGCGGCTCATATCAGCAGACACTTTATCAGTGGACACTGTATCAGCGGACACTGTATCAGTGAGCTTCCGTATCAGCAGCTCGTATCAGTATCCTCGTCCATATCAGCATTTCCATATCAGCGTTCGTATCAGCATCCTCCGTATCAGTGAGCCTCCGTATCAGTTAGCATCCTCCGGACCAGTATCCGTATTAGCATCCTCCATATCAGCAACATGTATCAGCAACATGTATCAGCAACACGTATCAGCAACACGTATCAGCAACATGTATCAGTATCCTCCATATCAGCATCCTCTGTAACAGCGACTAGTATCAGCATCCATATCAGCATCCTCCGTAAAGAATTTGTGGGAGTGTATTTTTTGAGTATGCACCTCAGTCAGAAGGGAGAGGGAGGTCACTGGGAGACCAAAGAGCATTGCATTATTGCATTCTCTACGTGTTTTCAACAGCTGAGAATGCACCTCTGAGGCTACTGAATTCCACCTTGATTACAACAGTCAATACTGTTTTCACTAGTAAATAAGCACACAAAAAAGTCATTACAGTTGCAAAAAGAGGGGTATGGCTTCCGGTTGTTGCTTATTTGGGTCATAGGCCTATTTAGTAGGAATTTTCGTGGCCGTTGAGGCAATTATGATAATGCAATTTTAGTTGCAAAATACCGGTACCATACAAGTACGTACCGTTTTGTATCCATAACATAATGATATCCATACTTCCAGGTACGGTATGAGGTGCAAAATGTACGTGTGCTCTTTAGAGTCGTATAACTATGTGTTTACAATAAAGAGTGAGAATGAGGTTAGGGATCACTCACTAGCTACTCGTGATTTACGTGCCTCACACCACCCTGCACTTGCAAAATCTAAAGACTCAAATGAGTCGAATGTGGTAGATTCACGATTGCTTGTATGAAGCAAATTGTGAAGAGGATTTAGATTGCAAGTGGAGCAGATGTTGTTGAGTGTTGTCACTGTTAATGTGGGTGTATCCTCAACAATTGGGGTATGTTGTGTGCTGATTGGGGAAATGGGTGTATATGTTGGTTTAACGCATCCCATAAAGATGTCAGAATGTTCATGAAATTTAGTTCATCCAGTGGGTTTGCTCAGTGAGTCACTATAGTTTTCATCAGATTTGGTTTTAATGAAGTCGATGTGTTTGTCATCAGTCCATTGGAGGATAACAAAGTGTTTCATCTCCACATGCCTTGTTCTTCAAGTGGGTTGATGAGCATTTTCCATATGGACAGCACCATGGTTGTCCGCTAATATTGGTGTAGGTTTGGTTTGCGGCAGTCTAAGCTCTTCAAGGATCCATCGAAGGTATAAAGCTTCTTTGCCTGCATCCGCCATATTAGTAAATTCAGCTTCCGTGGAGCTTTGAGCAATAGTGAGTTGTAATCTAGTTCTGTAATACACTGCTGCTCCAGCAAGCATCATGATGACACCCCCCAGGGATCAGCGCTCCAGTTGGTCTGAAGCCCACGTAGTATCACATGATCCGTGGACTTGGAGGGGGTTGTGAGATTGGTAGAATTTTGCCAGCATCTCTTTCTTAGTGTATGGAATAGGAAATGGAAGATTTGGGAGATCTTCACGTGGTTCTGGTCTCCAGTATGTTAGGCCCTCCCTTTTGGTTGCAATTAAATAGTGGAATAGGTGCTTTACAGCCTCATAGTGAATTTTAGCTGGATTGTGTGAGTGTTGRCTGAGAGTAATCACAGCAATGGATATGTATACGACAGATAGTTAGTGCATATATCAGTTCTCCTATGCACTGTCTGTAATTGAATCCTGCTGACTGTTGAAGTTTCATTGCTTCCAGTGGATCAGTCRGTCCTTTYGTAAGCTGTATTTGCTTTTGGTATTGAGCATCTTCTTTCATCGGTGTTAGTYGCCTTCTTATTTTTGCAGTTTTGYTGTTCCATCCATGATGCAASGAGATCTTTTCAATATAAGTGCTACAATGAAGATGGTTATAGTGTTTAGTTTGATCCACATGAATACCATTGAATTTACGAATGGTTCCAAGGATATTGAGGGGATTAGCCATTTTTGCTTCTTGTATCTGGGCTCTTATCGTGTCNTGATCCACATGAATACCATTGAATTTACGAATGGTTCCAAGGATATTGAGGGGATTAGCCATTTTTGCTTCTTGTATCTGGGCTCTTATCGTGTCGCATACCTGTTCTTCAGTGTCGGCAATGAGGAAATCGTCCACTTGTCTCAGGATGAGGTTACTAGTCCTGTATGATCATGTTTATAATATAAACATGGTTCATGTGTCATTGGTTTGAATCCCAGGTCTTTGATCAGTATTTTGGTGTTGGTGGCTGTTTAGTGTCAATTTTGCTGTCTTTTGTTGAGACTGCTGCTGCTGCTGCTGTTATCAAGGGGGTTGAGGCTGTGACAGCTGTTTTGGCGACAYCAGTGTTTGGAGACGTTGTATCATAGGGGGATTCTATGTGATTTAGTACTGGTTCTCCTCCGCTATTTTCTAAAATTGTTCCGGGAAAATACTCAAGTCAAAAAACAGCAGCTGTTGTTCTGCAGCTGATGTTGCTCTTCRAGTGAGGGAATGAGTAGTAAATCAGACTACTCTCTTGATGGTGTTGTCCTCTTTTGGTTCTGATGACGGTTATTTGAGCTGAGGTATGTTCTTTTGTTGCTCATAACCTGCAAAAATGTACGTGTGCTCTTTAGAGTCGTATAACTACTTGTTTACAACAATAAAGAGTGAGAGTGAGGTTAGGGATCACTCACTAGCTACTCGTGATTTAYGTGCCTCACACGAGGATGTACGTTTCGATTTTTATAACAAAAAACATGAGACAAAATATCTGGGACGTTCTGAAACAGCRAATTTCCACGTACGCTTAGCTACCAGATCTCCAACTAGTTTGAATACTACGGTAGATTGTTGCTGCAAGGCAACGCCTCTATTAAAAAACAGGGGGCCCGGGAAACTATTTTCATTTAGGTCCAATTTCTCTGGCTGTTTCCTGGTAGATTTATGGTAAAAACATTGTCGATTTAAGGTAGAAACATAGTTGATAATTGGTAGATATAGTCAACATGTGGTAGCCCTATCATCACGTGCCATACTGCGGGTCTAGTACTATAAATTATACATGGGGGGATCTGGGAAGGCTACCAAAAATCGACCTTAAATCAGATATCAATTAGATTTAAATCTGATTTAAATCAGATTTGTATTCCTTTTCTAGTCGATTTGTAGTCGAATTCTGGTCGGAAAAAAATCAAATTTTGAATAAATATTTTCCCGTATCCCCCAAGTCATAACACACTCGTCCCCAATGCTACCACTGGTCGCAGTGGTCAAAGGTGCGGTGGATCTAGTAGCTAAGCGTACGTGGAAATTCGCTGTTTCAGAACGTCCCTGACACCGACCTTCGACTGAGATGTTTACTGTATCCTTCGTAACGTTGTACTGTCTACTTGTTCCGAGATTCTTCAGTACGTTGGATGATTGAATGATTGAATGATAGAATTTCAATTTCACAACGAAAACGAAAACGAAAACCATCAGTTTCACCAAAATAGGTTGACGATGATATTTGTGTTTCTTGCCATCACAGCGCTAACCTCTCCCAGACTTTCACCATTTAGACTTCCCAGGCACTCTAGGCTATCAGGAAGGTTGATTGCGAACGAATCATCGAAAGCAACGCACATAAATCAGCGCTCTACCTCTGCGACAACAATACATCTCACGTGGTCTCCCCAGGATCTCACGGCGGACAACGATGGATTTCGGCCGATTCCAGACGATGACTACTTAAAAAAGTACCAAGAAAWACCGGATTTGTGGCCCGTCGAGTTCTTTCTGGTTCCCTATCGCCGCCGACGGAAAGCTACGAACTGCAAAGATAACGACGACGACAACAACAATTCCGAGACCCAGATCCTGGTCAGGAGATCTGCCAACGGAACATCTAAATACGGGCTCGGAACTGGTGTTCCGGCAACGCGATGGATGGTTTCGACAGGGAAATTACCTCGCGGCTACGAATGGACAGATCCCCCTGTTGTTTTTGAGGCCAGTGACTTTCCCGAATTTCCGAAAGGTACCGGCAAGGAGGAACCGACGAGGTCTTGGGCCTACCGCAAAATTCATCTCCGAGATGACGCCTTTCACGACAGCGAGCGAGACAATGACGATGTCGCTGAATTCAAGGATGCTGCGTTGGAGGAATATGCGAAGGAAATAAGGGAACATTTGAAGACGGAATTGTTGAAAATTTCTCGGGAGGGAAACGAGAACTCTTCGAGCCGATGGGAAAGTGAACGTAACTCTGTCGTCCAGACTATCCTCGAGAGCGACAATAGCATAGCTGCAATCCAGGGGACCCTCCGAATGAGTGGTCTCTTTGAAAAACGCAAGAGCGACACTTCGGCTCGTTTTGTGGCTTTCTCCGATGGTCCGGATCCAGCGGGGTTGGCACGATCCGTAAAAATCTACACGATGTTCCCACAAATGCCGGATCCCATGCCACTGCCGTCAGCCCCCCCGGCRGRACTGAAGGAGGAGATCATGAGCCGTCCATCGAGGATGGCGAAGTCCGGTAGAGATCCGCACAAGGACGACTACGGGAGAACATATACGCATATTTCGACTTCCAACGTCAGCAACACGATACACGGCGTGTACCTTTCCTTTGATGCCACAAATTGTCTGCCGGCCGACGCATCGGGTGTTGACACTACAGAGGAAGTCCCCCCGGCCCTTGATCTTTTTGGCACTACGGCAGTCGAACGAGAATGGAAGTCTCTGCAAGAACTCAAAGTGCTGGACCAAGGGGGCAACAACATTTGCACGGAAGATCCAAAATCAACGTTCATTTCTGGCTTCATTGCTCGACAGCTCGTAAAAGAGGGGGCCATCGACATTCATGGCTCAACGAATCAATAAATGAGCACTACCTACTTTCTCGTGTATACCGCTGGTACTAATTCAATTTTGATTACCTTTGAACTGGGTTGGGAACACAGGATTGTTCGTGGCAATYACGTGGTTCACATTTGCACGTTGTTCCTTACCGATCCTCAACATGTCTCATGAAGCCTTTGAAAGGTTCGAGCAAATTCTTTCGAGAGAAATTCGATGTCTTGAAGTGTCTCTTGTCCGACACCATCCGGGACTGGGCCTCGAACCGCTTCTWGTAGTTGGCCACGATCGGCATTCACCAACACTTCCAGGCAAGTACGATGRTAGGACCGTTGTCATGGATATCTTCCAAAAACAACATCAGGGTCTTGTGTGTCGAAAAGTGCTTTCGGATCAATACATTGCAACTTGAGAAGAACTTCAAAAACACCTCTGTGTGAACGAATAAAACTGTAGTACTAGTACTTGTACTTGTACTTTTAGATCTTATTTTTCCCCCTAATAGTAGTGTAAGCAATATGGATTGATGGATCAGCATTCTCGGTAGGACTACTTTCTGTTGAGCACTTTCCCTTGCATGGCCCTGACGCTCCTTTCAAGTAAAGGTTTCAATCCATTAAAGCCACTTAACCGCAATGAATCTTGAGGTAAAGTCTTTTTCGGTGTGCTGCAAGTGGAAGTTGATTTTTTAGTTCTCTTGACCTCCTACTAATACTAGTAAGTAGAAGTACTAATCTTGCAAATTAGCATGTCAGCAAAATAGCATGTCAGCAAACTCATCGCATGCCACCAGCATCTCATTTCTGTTACTTCGTATTTTTCGAGAAAAAAAATCATATTCAGCCTAGTACATCTTCTACTGCACATACAAAGATATTGATACCATATTTTTATGTTCCTCCCCCCTCAGATTCCTCCCCAGCTCCAGAAGGTCAACTCCAGTCGAATAATGAGTAACGACTGCTGTATTTCTATACAGTGGGGGTATTCGAASATAATGCAACTAAAAATGCAACAGTAGGAAATCATGTACAATTATACRTATGTGTACATCGTACTGATTTCTGCTGCTGGCATCCCATGCCAGTAGAGTACAGCAAAAAATCTGCTAAGTTGGTACGCCAATTGAGCAGAATTACTTTCGTTTACAAGCTAAAGTCTATTTCCATACTAAACAGACATATGATGGAGGTAATTCTTGACAATAACAGAAATATATTACTATTATGACACTATTCAAAGATCTTAGAGGGGGAGGACAAGTAGTTAGTAGCAGCTACCACCACAGCAACTCATATAAGCAGACACCATATCAGCAACAAGCCTCCATATCAGCATCCTCCGTATCAGCATCTTCTGTATCACTGGCTTGTATCAGCGACTGAAATCAGCCACTCGCATCAGCAACTTGCAGACACCTTATCAGCAACTCGTATCAGCGACTCGTATTGGCGACTCATATCAGCGGACACCGTATCAGCAAGCCTCCATATCAGCAGCTTACCCTGTATCAGCAGCATCCTCTGTATCAGCAACATCCTCGGTATCAGCGGCTTGTATCAGCAGCTTGTATCAGCAGCTTGTATCAGCGGCTCATATCAGCGACTCGTATCACTGGCTCCTCCGTATCTGCAGTGCAGTAAGCCTCTGTATCAGCATCCTCCGTATCAGCAGCTTGTATCAGTGGACACTGTATCAGTAGCAAGCCTCCGTATCAGTGTGTGTCCTCCGTATTAGCAAATCGTATCAGTCTCCTCCGTATCAGCAGCAAGCCTCCGTATCGGCAGCTCCTCCGTATCAGCGGACGCTATCAGTGGACACTATTATCAGCAGAAGCTGTATCAGTAGCAAGCCTCCGTATCAGTGAGCGTCCTCCATATCAGCATCCTCCATATCAG